GTGACATTTTATTTGATCATCACTTTGGGCTCAGTTTCAGTGCTTTTTGTCATCAGCATCATCGTGTTGATTGTAATGCAGTGCTCTAAATCGACAGACTATTCGTCCAAGTATTTACAGGATTCAAATTACGACGGAACTCTGTGCCACAGCATCCAGTACAGATCTGGAGACAAACGGTACATGTTCGTTGCACCCAGAATGAGTATCGGCTCTACTATTGTCCCGGGCAGTAATGGAAATACTCTAGTGATCCCAGATCGCAGGAGGAGAGATTCTGGAGAGGTAAGAATGTCGATTTTTTTTCTTTGTATGTAATTATTAACTCCTTCAGCTTCACATACAGACTACAAAATATGTTTCTCATAAAACTGGTGAGCTAATTGCAAGTTAAGAATTTCTGATGGTTGTTTGCTTTACAAAAAGCACAATGTGCTTGCTTTACCAGATGTCTAAATGTTTGCTGTTGTTCCAAGTAATGACATCGTAGCGGGAGCTGTCCGCTGCGCTGGTGCTGAAATTAGTTGCGGTTCATTAGAATGGACTGGATTTATAGTGAATTAAAGACGGCTTTACTGTGCTCTCACACACGTCTGCACGAGTTGTTTTGCGTGATATTAATGCACTTTATGGAATGAAGTAGCATGTAGGTATAGAGGGCCACAGAATGCAATTTATTACGTGGTTTTCTACATTATATATGTGTTTAATGAAAAGCTTTTGTGAATTTGTCTTCCTGTAGACCACTCGATGTCACTGTTGCTCTAGTATTTGTGTAGCAGATTAAGTCCTGCCCTTGATGATGACGCGAAACGGGCTGTATTTTTCCTCACATTCATGATGAAACATTCAGGAGCTGATGAACATTATAACGGTAACAGGCTGTGCTAACTGTATTAACAGTGGATCCATTTTGATTCGCATGATGTATCTAACATTACATTATTGAATCTAATCATCCAGAATATACTGATCATTAGAATAACGTTGCCGACAGTCGCAATGGAAGCTAGAGGACAAAGGCGCGGAAGGGAGCGCTGGTGGATTTTTCTGTGTTTCTCTTTGCTTGTGTGCTTCGGACAGCAGGTTTCAGCGCAGATAAGATACTCTGTTCCAGAAGAGGTGAAAGTGGGATCTGTCGTCGGAAATTGTGCTAAGGATTTGGGTCTTGATGTCAATACATTGGCGGACAGACGGTTTCGTATTGTGTCTGGATCTAATGACGCTCTTTTCCAGGTAAATCAGAACAATGGCATCTTGTATGTGGATAAGCACATTGACAGAGAAGAGGTGTGTAATGGAAATAGTGCCTGCTTGATTAATTTGAAAATAGTTGTCGAAAACCCCCTCGAGGTCCATTATGTGGAGGTTGAAATCACAGATGTGAATGATCACTCGCCTTCTTTCCACGATAAAGACTTCTATATAGAGGTTGCGGAAAACACTGTAACTGGAACACGATTTGAACTTCAAACTGCTCGGGATCTGGATGTGGGAGCTAATTCAGTTCGACATTACCAGCTGAGCAAGAATGCGCATTTTGATTTGGAAATGAAAGATAGTGTATACGGAGATAAAACCCCTTTCCTAATATTACAGAAACCATTAGACAGGGAAATTACTGAAAAACACAGGTTACTACTAACTGCAGTAGATGGCGGAAATCCACCAAAATCGGGCACGCTTAATATCACTGTCTGTGTTCTGGATGTGAATGATAACCGACCCATATGCAGTAGTGATACCTTAACGATAACATTGCGTGAAAATGCAATTATTGACACCGTAGTGACAATTATAAATGCAAGTGATGTTGATAGTGGTCTAAATAGTGAAGTAGAATATACATATGGCCGAAACACGAAACCAAAAATACGTGAAATATTTCGATTAGATCGGGCGACTGGTGAAATACGAGTTAAAGGCTTAATTGATTTCGAAGAAAATGATATCTACAGTTTAATGATAAGGGCCTCAGACAAGGGTCTTCCTCCTTTGAACACCGATTGTCAGCTTATAATTAAAGTTGAAGATGTAAATGACAATAATCCAGAAATACAAGTAACATCTCTTTCAAATGTAGTTTCGGAGGACGCAAAAATTGGAACGGTTATTTCTCTCATTAGTGTAACTGATAAAGATTCTGGAATCAATGGAAAAGTTGTTTGCAGACTATCTGACAATGTACCATTTGAGTTAAAATCCTCTGTTCAAGATAACATGTATTCCCTTGTAACGAAAGAACGCTTAGACCGAGAGGTAGTGTCCGAATATAACATAAAAATAACAGCAACAGATTTAGGCAACCCGTCTCTGTCAGCTTATAAAACTATGTTTGTACAGGTGTCAGATGTAAACGACAATATCCCAGAATTTTCGTCGAATCCTCTGGAACTTTATTTAACTGAAAACAATTCTCCAGGTGCTTCTATATTTTCTGTCAGTGCCTCAGACAAAGATATTAATGAAAATGCTGCCATAACTTATCATATCATTAGAAGTGGAGGGATAAAGAACGACAAGGCATCTGCCATGAATATAAATTCTGAGACTGGTGTTATTCACGCGCTAAAGAGCTTTGACTTTGAAACAGTTAAAATGTTCCAGTTCCACGTTCTCGCTACAGACTCTGGAACTCCGTCTCTGAGCAGTAACGTGACAGTGAACGTGTTTATTCTGGATCAGAACGACAACGTTCCAGTGATCTTATATCCAGTCAGCGCTAACGGTTCTGCTGAGGGTGTGGAAGAGATTCCCCGTAATATGAACGCAGGTCATTTGGTGACTAAAGTCAGAGCCTATGACGCAGATATAGGATACAACGGCTGGTTATTATTTTCACTGCAGGAAGTTAGTGACCACAGTCTCTTTAGTTTGGACCGCTATACAGGACAGATAAGGACCCTTCGCTCATTCACAGAAACAGACGAGGCCCAGCATAAACTGCTCATACTGGTCAAAGACAATGGGAACGTTTCACTCTCAGCAACAGCGACTGTGATTGTCAAAGTTGTGGAGCCCAAAGATGCTTTTGCAGCTTCTGATGTTAAAAACTCAGTAAAAGACGAGGAGGAAAACAACGTGACATTTTATTTGATCACAAACGGTACATGTTAGTTGGACCCAGAATGAGTATCGGCTCTACTATAGTCCCTGGCAGTAATGGAAATACTCTAGTGATCCCAGATCGCAGGAGGAGAGGTTCTGGGGAGGTAAGAATAACAGATTCATTAATTACAGCTATACCGTTTTGCTTTGATATTGTTATATCTTACAGTTGTAATTTATGCAATATATTGTGCTTTTAAATATTATGATTTCACAGAACAAAGTCTTGCTCGGTAGCCTACTTTGTTTGACAGCTTTTATTGTCTGATCGTAATGTAAGTAACCGCAGCTTGCAGGGAGCTGTTCATTGCGTTGGTGCTGAAATTCCTTTTTTATTATTTTATTCATTATTATTATTATTTTTATTATTATTATTTCACAAAGCCTTAAAAACACTGTAAGTGGTCGATGATAACTGAACGCATGTAAACTTTTCATTATTCTCTCAGAATTTCTAAGTTTTGCTTTTTTCAGGTGTGTATTTTATACTGTTTATTTTAGCTTTTTATTTAATGTACATTCTTACGCAATCACGCATTTTTGTCTTCGCTATGTAAGTACTTTAAATGTAAATGTCCATGATCCGTTTAAATTGCTATATTTTCAGGTATAGTAACATTCTATTGTATAATTATATTTTCACATTGAGTGACTTTTGTAATAGGTTCGACAGGGGATGTAACACTTTACTGTGCATGATATAGAGTTGCTAACTCCTTCAGATTTTTTCATAATATTTTAGAGATTGGTTGTTTGAAATGAACAGCTGACCGCTCGGTGTCAGTATTGCACTGTGTTATGATGGAGAGATTATGCCCTGCCCTAAATGGTGACATGCGCAGTGCTACATTGTTCTGTACATTTTAGGAGCCACTGTGAGCCGAAGAAAATTATAGTGCATACGGTCGGCTGACGATGCGGCGTAGGACTTAATTTGAACTATTTCCTGATTTCTGGTACTACACGAATTATCTTGTTGAGAGTAATCAAGGACAATACATTTCTGGTTCTGGAATACTTTTGTTTTAATTCCTCACGATGGATAAGGATGGACAAAGGCGCAGATGGGGATACTGGTGGATTGCTTTGTGTTTGCTGATGCATTGTGATCAGCCTGTTTCTGCACAGATCAGATATTCTATTCCGGAGGAGGTGAAAGAGGGATCACAAGTAGGAAATATTGCTAAGGATCTCGGTCTTGATGTCAGTTCGTTAGAGCACAGACGATTCCGTATTGTTTCTGGATCTGAGGACAGTTTTTTCCAGGTAAATCAAAACAATGGCATCTTATATGTTCATAAGAAAATCGACCGAGAGGAGATTTGTGATGACAATGGCGCATGTTTGCTAAACTTAAAGATTGCAGTTGAAAATCCACTCGAAGTTCACTATGTTGAGGTTGAAATAACAGATGTTAATGATCACTTCCCTTCTTTCCCAGAAAAAGACTTGCAGATTGAAATAGCGGAAAACACTTTAAAGGGAACTCGCTTTGGTCTTCCAACCGCTCGAGATTCAGACGTTGGCATACATTCCATTCGTTCCTATCGACTTGGTCAAAATCATCATTTTGATATAGAGATAGGAGACAGTGAATACGTGGATAAAAATCCTTTTCTTCTTTTAAAGAAACCGTTAGATAGGGAGATTCGGGAGAAGCACGTCTTAACTTTGACTGCCATCGATGGTGGAAATCCACCAAAATCAGGCACTTTAAATATAACTGTCACGGTCCTCGATGTTAACGACAACCGTCCAGTATGCAACAGAGACACATACACTATTACGTTAAAAGAAAACGCCTCTCCCGGTTTTACTGTAACATTTGTTAATGCAACTGACCCAGATGAGGGCGTTAATGGAGAAGTTGAATATGCTTACGGTAGGAACGTGCAGCGAAAAGTGCATGATGTATTTGAACTAAACAAGGTGACAGGTGAAATCCGTGTCAAAGGCAAAATTGATTTTGAGGAGAATTACATTTTTAGTCTGAGCATCATGGCTTCTGATAAAGGGCGCCCTCCATCAAACACTGACTGCAGAGTTATCATTAAGATTATTGATGTCAATGATAATGAACCAGAGATTGAAGTCACGTCGCTTTCTAATACAGTTTCGGAAGACTCAAAGCCCGGGACAGTCATTTCTCTTATTAGCATAACGGACAAAGATTCAGGGATTAATGGTAAAGTTGTTTGCAGCTTGTCAGAGAGTGTACCTTTTGAATTGAAACCATATGTTCAGCAGAACATGTATTCTCTAGTAACCAAAGAGAATTTGGACCGAGAAATTGCGTCCCATTATGACATTACAGTAACATCTACTGATTTAGGAAACCCAGCTCTTTCAGCTTCAAAATCTCTGAGCATAGAGGTGTCCGATGTCAACGATAATACACCGCAATTCCCCCACAGCCCTCTTGAGATTTACCTGTTTGAAAATAATCCACCCGGACAGTCCATATTTTCTGTGAGCGCCACTGATGAAGACAAAAATGAAAATGCTCATATTACGTATCATATTATAAGAGGCGATCAGACACAAAGCGACATGACTTCATTCCTTATCATAAATTCTGAAACAGGCGTAATTAGTGCTCTCAAAAGTTTTGACTTTGAAACAGTCAAAAACTTTCACTTCTACATTCTTGCAACAGACTCTGGAACTCCGTCTCTGAGCAGTAACGTGACAGTGAACGTGTTTATTCTGGATCAGAACGACAACGTTCCAGTGATCTTATATCCAGTCAGCGCTAACGGTTCTGCTGAGGGTGTGGAAGAGATTCCCCGTAATGTGAACGCAGGTCATTTGGTGACTAAAGTCAGAGCCTATGACGCAGATATAGGATACAACGGCTGGTTATTATTTTCACTGCAGGAAGTTAGTGACCACAGTCTCTTTGGTTTGGACCGCTATACAGGACAGATAAGGACCCTTCGCTCATTCACAGAAACAGACGAGGCCCAGCATAAACTGCTCATACTGGTCAAAGACAATGGGAACGTTTCACTCTCGGCAACAGCGACCGTGATTGTCAAAGTTGTGGAGGCCAAAGAGACTTTTGCCGCATCTGATGTGAAAAACACAGTAAAAGATGAAGTGGAAAACAGCGTGACATTTTATTTGATCATCACTTTGGGCTCGGTTTCAGTGCTTTTTGTCGTCAGCATCATCGTGTTGATTGTAATGCAGTGCTCTAAATCGACAGACTATTCGTCCAAGTATTTACAGGATACAAATTACGACGGGACTCTGTGTCACAGCATCCAGTACAGATCTGGAGACAAACGGTACATGTTAGTTGGACCCAGAATGAGTATCGGCTCTACTATAGTCCCGGGCAGTAATGGAAATACTCTAGTGATACCAGATCGCAGGAGGAGAGATTCTGGAGAGGTAAGCAAATGGCTTATGCATCTGTGTATTAGTTGTAGGAAACTATTTTAAGATAGATGCTGGCTGCTGTCCGTGGTACTGAACATGCTCAGGCTGTTTTTAAATGGAACATTCTTAGTGTCAACCTCTTTCTCAGGTTCAGATTTATTAGATTTAGGATTCACATTACTGAAGCACATCAATATTAAATAAAGAAACATACAGCCAATGGAGAAAGATTCTTAATATATGTAAGATTGGGGACTGTTGATACAGTGCAATTCTGTTTCCACTTCATTTAGTGTGCAGTGCAGTGTTTAGTTTGCCAGGTCTGTCTGTGCCTGTCCATCTCTATGGCGAGGTTGTGCTCACTTGGTCTGTATATGGTCAGGACTTTATATAGTTTAGGGTTTATCCTGTGGTCAGGTATTCCAGCACGTTTATGTTCTCTGTTTAGTGACAGAAATCATTTCAATTTGCTTTGAACTTATGCTTCTGTCCAATGTGCTTTTTTTTTTCCTTTTTTTTTTT